TTTTAACTATGCCAACTATGCAAAATGTTGGCATATTTGCTAACCTGTTTAACTTGAATATGTTTATGTTTATAATGTATATACATATATATGCTATAGCGAATTTCTAGAGTGTTGGATTAACGTATAGCTGTGAAAACTTACAGTTCTGTGACTTTTTCAGCAAGCCCATATCATGTGTTTGAGAGCTATTGGATTTCTTAGTCTTGGAGACTTTCAGCTTGGCGAGCAGTTGCTTTAGCATTGTCGAACTAGTCAGATTTAGTGTGGACTTAATGGATTAGAGTTGTGAATAATCCTTTTCATATATGAATCCTTTTTTAATTGTTTACGTAGAGTTAACTTTCACATTAGAAACTTGAATCGGAACTGTAAAAACAACTTTGCGGCTTCGTTTATAAATGTAATTTGATTATATGTATATATGCTTATATCTGAAATAAGGTTTTGGTTTCGTGTGCAATATATTTTCCCACAAACCACAACAGGAAAAAAAAAACAGTTAAATATTTTTTAATTTCTCCAAGCGCTGTTTTTATCAGAAATTAGTGTTAAACGAGGCTTTTTATCTCTCTTTCCTGCTCTTCCTCTCCCTGTAGCTACTCATATTTTTGCTGTTTCTTTTAAAAAATATTAAAAGTCTGTGTATTTATATACATTATACGTAGGTTCGCTTAACTAGTTTGGCTAATTGAAAACGCGTGCCGTCTGCTTCGCGACAACATGTGGCCATTGGCTATTGGCAACAATGGAAAACGCTCTATATATGAGAAGTTATACGTCGCACCGTGCATGATATTATGATTATAGCATGACGATGTCTACTTAACTGGTTTATTTGTGCTAATAACAAATATACTATACTATACTACAAGAACACTATAAGTGTGTCTGATCTCGTATAATAGGCGAATGGAGGGATTGTAATACATATAATTGTATAGTATGATATATTATAATAGACAATAATGAGAGATTCGAATGTATATAGATCATTATAGTATATAAATTAATTATGTTTATGTTTATATACTAAATAGATACATGTATGGGCGCAACTTTATTATAGTTTCGGTATATATTTAGTATAGGTATAGTTAGTAAATAGTTAGTTATATAGTATATTATAGTTTTTTTTAGCATCGCTAATATGGTAATTTGACTTGTTGTTTATGCCCTTAGCACCTGTTGAGATTTGCGGTTTGTTTTTATAGTAAATAATTGCTTTACAGTATTACTTAGTTTCAAAAGATTCCCGAAGCTCAGTATGGACAAAAATCTAAAAAAATTTAAACTAAAAAAAAATCCCAAAAATATTATATTTAATATAATTTTTATTGGAAAGTCATCTAAAGCCTTTTCAAAATATATTTATATATTACTAGAAAGCTCGAATTTCACTGAATTTCCCTTACCTTCTGTTCACTGTAGCTCCATGCATTCCCTACACACATATATACATACTATATACGATATATATGCACATTCTCTGCCCCTTCTCACTCAGCAAACACTCGACATCCCATCCGATTCGTTCCCATGCACAAACTAGTTAACATTGAATTTAAAATGAATCAAATTCATTGTATAAATAAATTGCATATTTTTTCTATGGCTTCCCCATGTGCTTAAGTTGTTGTTGTTGTTGTTGTTGTTGTTGTTGTTGTTGTTGTTGTTGCTGCTGTTGTCACGGGTAGCTAATCTGTGAGGCTCTGCTGTACTTGAAGTGCGGTTCAAAGTAGTTGAGACTTGATATGATCAAAAGTCTTTGGATTGAGCTCTTTCAATTGTGTCAAATATCACATGAAATTCAATTAAATTTAATTCAATTCACTTCACATAGAACAAGTGAAAACATTGCATATATCAATTATATAGGAGGATACTGTCAGGTACTACGATTTCATGGTCCCAAGTTCCAGGTCAACTTAGTTTAAGGAAATTATATCTGTACTCGGATTGACCTCATCTGCGCTGACCTTAATGCGTCAAAAATGTCTTAAATGAATGCCAGACTTCGAGTCGGATCACTTTTTAATTCGATTTTGATTAGCAAACTGGTGCCAGACGAAAACATTTCCGTAGAGTCTTCAGCGCGGGAACTCCAATAAATTAAAAGAAATTTGTTGACAGACAAAGACGACCACATAATGCTCGTTTTAGGTATATAGCCATTTGAGAAGGTAAACTATCCTATCAGATTAGTATAGATATATTATCTATTAGATTACGAGAGTTTAACACTGACTTTTTAGTGAAGCTATGGTAGTCTAGAAAAGAAAAGTTCGACTACACTTGAAAGTCCCAATCTCTTGCTTCGAATAAAAGTAAAATATTTATATATAGAAATTCCTAGTCATAAGTACTTAATATAATTACATCTGCTTAGTCAAAATTCCAGCTTGGCCTACGTGAGCGAATATAATAGGTAAATGTCTTTGAATTTAAGTTAAGAGAATGAAAAAGATTTAGCTGATGCAATTTGCTCCACTCAGACGGAGTTGACTCGTTAATTAAATTAAATGAAATTAGAGCTAAACTTGCGCATTATTAATCATCTTATTTCTGGCATTTCTAGACTATTACACATCCAGATTTTTCGCTGCTACAATTTATCTGCAGATATTGAAATTCCCGTTTAGCCCGGACAAAATGTTTGCGTCATATTCAGTTTGACGCATTGTTTTCAGGTGTTTTCGTTTCAATTAAGTACTTCCTATATACAATATATATATACATGATCTGTATGCCGATGTGGGACAGATAACAATCTTAATGCAAGCAATCTTTGCTTTAATTTAGCAAAAGTTGAGTGCAAAAATGAGTAGAGGCGAACTGTGCTCTGATTATGACTATACATATGTTATGTATAATATATAGCACGTGATGTCATTTCTCCCTATATATATTTCTATAATATATAGCTAACAATATCATATATTTCTATTAAAGTATTTCTATGAATTTTATTGTTTCATAATAAAACAAAATGAATCAGTTATAAGTAGCACGTTCCCAAGTTTTATAGCCCTCTTTAATCTATTGGTGATATCATAATTTGTATAGCCTAAGCCCATTGCAAAAAGGAAATTCAGGGTAGAATAGTTTTGTTAAAATTTATGTAACAAGCGGAAAGAGAGTATATTAAATCATCACGAGTACCCAAAATTTTAATCACGACAAGAGGCTGCGGCAATTTAGAGCTTTCATCTATCCGCTTGTGTGAGCGTGTTAATCTCAAGTTTCAGGATTATATTTTAGACCAGCATAATTCTCACTTATATATAACACGCGCATAACAAGCTTCTTTCAAGTAAACAATAACTTTCTCCATTCAATGTAAGCAATAGAAAGCATTATCTAGCTTCTTTCCTGAAATTATGTCGCTTATATTTTCTTTGGAACAGGCCCTAGATTCCCAACAATTTTGCATTTACTTAAACAATTCGAATGTCTTATATTTTCTTAGCGGCTCCACGTGTCGCAAAATTCTTGAAATAAAGTTAGTTCAGATCTAAAATTAGCCGTTATGTGAGAGATTTTGCATGTTCACTTAGTTAACAAATATGAATAAAATATTTAGATCATAGACTTAGAATTCCATTGAAATTTGTTTAAGTACAGCTGATACTTATCTAACAATCGCACGTGGCAAATAGAAATACACCTGGCCACTTTCGTCTACAGTTTTCTTGTTTTCTTAATAATGTGCTAATTTAAAAGGTAAAATCACGTTGTCTTGAGAATTTTGCTATAGAAAACTATATTTATATTTTTAAATTTAACAATATAACATAAATAGGTTAAAAGATTTCGGCCAAAAAGTAAAATATTCTCATATATTTTATGTGCATCAACTGTAAAGCTTGATTGATTCAATGAAACTTATGTAAGTCAAGGTCTAATTTTACTAAGCCCCTCGACCCAATAGGTCACTCGCTGTCTATTTATTCTATTCAGCTTTATAGAAATGTGTTTCAGACTGCTCTCAAATTATTCTAATCTTGATTACGAACAGTTTTCCAAGTTGTTCCATTTGTTTATTAATTCAATAGAATTTGATGTTGTGTTTCATAGGAACTTTATATACGATCCCAGCATTTTTGTAGCATTCCAAACTCATCCACAGCAAAGTGAATTGTTTCCCCTTGTACCCCTTCATCATCCAAAATAAGAATTTCATTTAGTTGTTTCTTTTTGTAAATACCAATAACTTTTTTATTTATTGTTTTTTCTTTTTTTTGTATTTTTAGAGTTTTTCTTTTCTTTTCAAATATATTAAACTTAAATATAAATACAATAATATAATAAATTTTAAATTGCATAATTTTTCTCGATACCCGCAAGCTAAATGTTTTTGTTTTTCTTTTACATTTTAACAATAGTATAAATATTTTTAAATTTTCGTTTGCAATACATTTTGTTGTTTAATATCTTTATGCCCATGCACAGTTAATAATATTCGTATATATTTTGTTGAATTGCTTATAAAAATTCTGTTAATAAAATCAATTCAATAATAACAAGTATTAAATTTTTCAACAATATTAACTTGTATATATATATATATAACCATAACTCTCTGAAGCTTTAATAATTATATTATAAATACATCAATTTTCAATTTAAGCTCATTTATTATATAATTTAAATATTTTTTTTAACTGTGCACATTTTGTTGCTGGCGAGAGAAATCGATTTGTTTTTAATATTAGGTGTCTAATATAGACAAGGATAAATATAAGTCTGAGTCAAAACTATATATATAAATAGATATATATATAGGCAAACGCTTGTAGGAAGAAAATACTAAATATTTTTTGGCGCCAATGAAGCTTGTTTAAATATAATTTTTCCTGTAAATAATTTTGGCCCAATTTTCAGGGTGTAGAAACTGAAAACAATTGTTTTTCCCTCTTCTCTCACAAGAATGTTCTCTTGTATCTAGAAAAAAAAAAAAAAAAACAATTTGCTTCAATATTGAATATGCTCTACTGCAATTTTTTACTCAGTCTCGTACGCAAAATAGAAAAATATTTCTGGTATTTCTGGCGATTTTGCTTCCCTCGAACCGTTCTATTGTTTTTGTTTTTGCAGTTGCCACAGTTCGCTTGGGTTGAGTCAAACGGGGCAACGGCTTTTGGATTGTATGTCAACTAAATTACTATGTTCATTTTTTTTTATGCATGCGCATAAAATAAAAACAAACAAACAAAGGTTGTAAACGGCTTGTATAATAAATTGGTATCAAGTTAAACAGCAAAACAGAAACAGAAAACATAAAACGGCAAAAAGTTCTTGCTGTTATTTGTTTTTGTTTTCGTATTTGCTGTTTGTAGTTGTGTTGTTCTTGTTATTGTTGCTGCTGCTATTTGTAAATGGTAGTGTTACGTCATAGGCGGAAATGCTATTTGTAAATGGTAGTGTTACGTCATAGGCGGAAATGCACGCAATTGTTAGTATAGGTACAGTTGCAGTAGATTATTGTAGTTGTCTCGCTCTCACTTGCGCAGTCTGCCCAGCAGGCGCTTTAAGCATCTTTTACAATGCTTCTTCTCATTTAATATTTTTTTTTTCTGTTTTTTCTTTTGTCTTTATCTAACTATATATGGCATTGTGAATTGCTGCTGCTGTTGTTTTTTCATTTTATTTTTTGGCTTTTATTTTGCCACCTGTCTGTCTCTCCTCTTAAATCTGATTAGTTTTGCTGCTGTGCTTAAACCTTGCAGCTCTGCTGCGTTGGCACAACAGTTGTCAGATTCGCCATTTGATGTTGCACTTCGTGCTCGTGCTCGTACTCGTGCTCGTGCATCTCCTCCTCGTCCTCGCAGATGCTCTCGTGATGTTTACGAGATTCTCGCTTGCGCATGTAGTTGATCAATGGCCGTTTCTTGTGCTCTTTGCAGAATGGGCAATCCTTGCGCAGCTGCTTCTCCGATTTTAGTTGCTTACATTTTTCTGTAAATAAAAAAATAAAGAGACAGCTGGTTAATTGTGATCTATTTCAATGGAATGGATTGCTTAATATTGTTTACGGCATAAACAAGGTTGTTGTTGACATACTAATACATAAACACTCAACCACACACTCGCATATACACATAACATAGAAAACACATGACGCGCTCTCTCTCTTTCGTTCTCTTGGCCATTGCCTCTGATTGGCCTACGTGCGTGCGCGCACACTTTGCCCCTTTCCAGCTGCTACAGCTGCCTCGGCTGCTTACGTGACGTCACGCTGTTAACGTCACGTAGCGGCAAGATTTTACGGTTTTGATTGACCCTGTGACATGTGAGTTCGCACAGGGTGCTCTCAATGGGCAAGCCGCCGTAAATTAAGCTCACACACTAACATATATTTAGATTGCCTTTCATTGATTAAATCGCTGCCGGTCTATATATAGACGCAATTTTAGCGATTGTTCTCGTCAAACGTTTGATAAGCAACCTTGACTTATCTGAGAACTACGCATAAAATTTCCTCTAATCTATAAAAATTACAATTGCGCGGCAGAAATGCATAAATTACTCATTGCATACAGTACATGTGTGTATTTACTTCTTTTTTGGCTTGTTGGCTTAAATAGGTTGCACATACATACGTTCACACATATATATGAATTTATTGCGTCGCAATTTCTTGTTTTGGACTCAAACACCTGCTTGCCTTTTCTCTTTTTTTTTTTTTTTGTAAGCCGAGGGTACAGTCAGCTTAGTGGCTCCAATTCCAGCTCAGCTTAGCCGGACTTAGTCTCTTTTGCCTTACAAATTTAAGTTATATATAAATTCTTTTGTTAATTTGTTTATTGTGCTCTTTAATATTTAGCATTTAAAGCGAGTTTTGCACTAAAGAAGGCTAAGAATATTATCAATCGTAAAATTATTGTTTATTCGTGTTTAATTGCCGTACTTAAGTTCCTCACGTGAAAAATGGTTTCATATGTAAAATGAAAGTAAACAAAGATTACAGAAGAGTGCAAACAGAAATGAATGCATGTGACACCTGATAAGAGGAATTTGATAAATGTAATGTGTGCGGCACCCTGTGATTGCCCAATTTCCTTATGCGAGTACACACACACTCGCATAGATGTCTTCGCATGTGCGCAAATTAAGGCGAATAACACACTCACATGTGTAAAATGCACAGAAAGAACATTGTGGCTATTTTTAAATTCTTGCAAAAACAACACATAATGCGGGCAGTCACAATAAACAGCAAATAAGCGGCTGTATATAGCATAAGTATGTACAACGGTATATACAGGCACGTACGTACGCAAACATGGCTGTTTTTGTATGTTTTGCAGTGCGTATTTTTGCAATTAACGCATTTTACTTTATTTCACATCACACACATGTGCATGTGTGTGTTATGCCTTGCTAGAGACAAAAGCTGAATGTCATGACATACTTGTGCATAAATATGTATATGCTACAAGCTATCAAACACACGTTAGCGCACGCATGAGAACATATTTAGATGTCTTCGCTATTATTTCTAGGTTTTAGGATTATCGTATTTGCTCAAATTACCTTGCACTCGACTGTAGGAGTCCTTGGCCGGATATGCGCTGGCACTGCTTGCGTGCTCCAACGTGCCATACGGGAACTGCTCGTAGTCACGGTAATAGTTGTTGCGCATCGAGCCCCCATAAGACAGCGTCGAGTCGCCAACAAATACGCCCCAAACGTCCATATTTGTAGTGGTTGTTGTTGTTGTATATATTTTTTTAGAAAGGCGGATTATGTAGGTTGCACTGCCGATATGTGTGGGCTGTGCTGTGTTGATTAGTTCTGTTTTATTGTTGCTTTTGCGCGCGTACTTTGTGCGAGGTCGTTTCACTTTGCCTTTTTTCTGTTTTCTTTGTGTGTGTCCTCTTGTAACGTGCAATGAACTCTTGCTATTCACGTAAGCGTCTTACGCTTTATATCAAACAACGCGAATTGTCTTTTTTTTTTTTGTTGAATATTCACTTTTTCATACCAAGTTGAGGTATAGAACCAGTTTATATATGCATTGATTTTAAATGCACTCTGTTTTTGTACTAAAGTACGGAGAACTCTTTTTTAACGCTCTTAACGTTGTCAGATCAAAACTGAAACTGAAAGCCGAACGCCATATTACTGCATTTTTGTAGCCCTCGCGCGTCCGTTCGATTCGTGTGTTGTTTTCGTCGTAGTCGTGTCTCGTTTCGCGACGCGTAGCAGTTGTTTTTGCTTTTTCCGTCGCTTGTTTGCTTACTTTACTTCTGTATGGCTGATTGCTGTACATATGTACATATATAAATGGGTATATTAGTTAAAAGGTTTATGTAACACACAAAGGGACTTGACCATAGAATTTATTGCGCACTAATATAATTTTATCATTATTAAGGAAATATTGATATAAAATATGTTTTGTTTTGCAATAGCTCTTTGTCTATGGGCCATACCTATCGTTTAAGCCTTTGTGCGTAGTATCTGAAGGTCGAGTCGCAGCTAAAAACGTACACTCGCTTTTGTTGTTTCGACGTCTCGTGCTTTCCCTTGAGCTTCAACACATGTGCTCCTGCTAGTATAGCTCATATTGCTATTTCTTTCCAACTCACGCGAGATGCGGCACAGTGGTATAAAGCGTATTTTTTTTTAAATGATCAATATTCAACAAACAATTGGTAAATGATGCGTAGATTAAATGGTTTTGAAACGATTAGTTAATTTTCCATATGATTCATCTTTATCGTCTTTCAGTCAAAAACAGTTAAGACGTGTTAATTTGTTTGTGGCATGGAAAATATTGAACATTATAATACTGGCGTTGGAAGTTTTTCTTGTTAGCGTTAAGTTGCTAAAACAAATGGATGATTTTAAAAATTGTCACCTTAACCAAATTTGATGTCATATAACTATACTTAAGATTGAAATTTTGGAATTACATTTCTTCGTATAACTCGAGGCAAATGTTGCCATAGGTTGCTAATCGACGTCTAGACTGAATGCCCACTTTGCGCTATATAACGAAAGGCTAAAAATAGCGTGAAGTTTTGTTGCTAAGCAAAACATTTTCCCATGCTTTGTCAATGAAGGTATAAATTACAAATGGTGGATGTAAATGAATATATTAGGTTGCCGACATCTTTTAGTTTTATTCTTGAGCGTCTAAGCATACATTTTTCCTCATCTTTAGGGATCAATCGTATGCAATGACGTGAATTCTATAGGTTAAGGTGTATAAACAAATTTTAAACTTTTGTCTTCACTAAAGGTTAATATCGATTTAATTTGCGTACAACTTGTGTTAATTGATTTACCTACGTCATAGAAAGGTATCTTAATCAAGTTGTTTGCTGTTTTGATTGTACATATCAGCTTTTAGCGAGTTTTTGTGGTTTAAGTATTTTGTACACACGACTTTCTGTGTGCGATGTCGTGACATGCTTCTAGAAGTGGGCGGCCATTCGTTTCCAAATACCACAGGCTATATATAGCAAAAGTATTCCTTAATAACAGGTTTTGAGACAAAAATAAATCTTAAAATGCAACATTTATATGGAAAAAACTGACTAACTAACCACAGAGCCATGACACATTAATGATATATTCGGTGACAATGTCTGGGGTGGCACCTACTCAATTTCATCCGCAGCCAATGGTTGCGTGATCTCAGTCAAAGCAAGTCTAGACCGGCCCCTCTGCTGTTTGACACCTTTGAGGACAGCTGAAGGTTTCTAAATAATATACAATATATAATATATTGTATTGCCCTTCGCTAAAAACCTTTTTAGATTTACACTTCGGCTCTAAAAATTTCCGAACCCTTTCAATTATTTTTTCACTGAATTTAAGCGTTTACAACTCACTGTACATAAACGCACACACAATGCCAATCCGTTTTTGGCGCTCTCCTTATTCGCTCATTCGCAACTGCCCACGCCCACGTTGCGTCTGCTGCTGCGCAGTTTATGCAAACATAAACTCTCGTGATTAACATGCTCTCCCACTCTTTCTCTCTTTTCTTCTCTATTCTAGCGATGGTATCATGCACATCAGAGAGTTAATCAAACAAGTGTCCATTACATACACCGACAAATATAAATATTCACAAACGTACATATGTGTGTACATTTGTGCATTTGTATATGTGTATATATTTGTTTATTTTGTTGACACAACTTAAAAGCTAGCTATCTCACTCTTAACTGCAAGCATCGATAACGGTTAACGGCCGTTGTTGTCGTTGCCGCTGCCGCTACTTCTGTCTTTTCCTCTGCATTCAAAGTTTGTCAAAGCGACTCCCCTCCTGCCAACAGTGATAAGTCCTTATCTTTGGAGGTCATAATTCTTTGGTTAAGACCACCTAGGCATGTGGAAAATTGAAATGATAGAAACAAGCATACAAATTATTTACGTATGCATACAAAACAAAAAAAGTCATACAAATTCTCACTTTTCTCAGATTTTTCTTTATGTTCCTATGTATGTATGCTTGTGCGTTTATTTACATACAATATATGAATTTACATACATACATGCGTATGAGTATATTTACGTACTCATTTGATATTTTAGATGATTTTAAATAACAAAGAAAAATGTCTCCTAATATTTTATACAATGCACCTTACCCTCCATCGCTTAAAATCCATTCCACAATTTTTTTTATCGAATATTTACGCAAGCAGTGTTGAACAACATGTAAATAACAGCTTCTCTAGATTTATCCTTTAAAAATAATCGATAAGGCGAAGTTTTAAATGTCAATCTTAGCAAACAGTTTTTATATTTTTTACCAAAACAGCAGCTATGATTAAAAGTGTCTCGCTTTCTGTTTCCCTGCAGGAAAATCTAGGCGGGAATTCGAAGACCGTGATGCTGGCCACCATTTCACCGGCCAGCCTGCATGCGGATGAGACGCTAGCGACGCTTCGATATGCGTGTAAGGCGCGCTCCATAGTGAATCGGGTGAAGGTGAATGAATCGCCGCATGACAAGATCATCCGTGACCTGCGCGCCGAGGTGGATCGCTTGAAGTCGCTGCGTAACGAATATGAGAGGCAACGACGTCTCTCGGCTAGCAATAACAATCCGCCGGCGCCACGGAAAATCATAATCGAGACATCCGTCGATGACAGCGAAGTGGAGGCACTGCGCCAGCAGCTGGCGGAGCGAGAGCGTGAGCTAAATCGCGCTCAAAAGTCATGGATGGAGAAGCTGAAAGAGGCTGAGGATCAGCGCAAATCCGAGCTGCGACTGCTCAAGCGCAAAGGACTCGCACTGGAACTAACCGCCGAACAGAAGCAAGCGTGCCTGGTGAACCTCACCGATGATCCCATGCTAAGTGGCACGCTCTTCTATCTGTTGCCACCGGGCATTGTTCAGATAGGCCGTGGCCGTGCACCAGGTGCACCGGCGAGCTCTCTGCCGGACATCGTGCTGGACGGTCCATTGGTGGCGCTGCAGCACTGCAGCATTGAGCACGATCGGTCGGGTCGGTTGTACGTGATTCCGGGCAGCGAGGACTTCGAGACCTATGTGAATGGCGAACTGCTGCAGCAGCGGCGTCCGCTCTACCATGGAGATCGTCTGGTCATTGGCGGCTCGCACTATTTTCGCATCTCGAATCCGTTCTGCAGTCAGCGTGGCAAGGCGGAACAGCTCCATGTGGACTTTCAGTTGGCGCATCAAGAGATTCTGCAAAAGCAGGAGCAGCAGCTGCGCAACGAACTGGAGGCAGAAAAACGGGCGGCCCTAACGCGCATTGAACAGGAGCGAGAGCAGCATGCGCGTGACTTTGAGGAGCGGCTGCAGTGCCTCGAACTGGAACAGTTCAAGTACAAGTGCAACAGCGAAATGCTCGAAACTGAACGCCAAGCGTTGGCCCAGCAGCAGCTGAAGCAGTCAACGCCCAACTACGACCTGACGACGACTCCGGCACAAAAGTCCACACTGCTGGAGGACATCCAGCGCATCATGTTGAATCCCAGCGAGGAGAGTCTGCACAAGACGCAGCTGATGGTGAAGGAGGCGACGCAACGCTGTCGCCAGCTGGGACTGCAGCACCTGGAGTTTCGGCAGACACAGACGCCGGATGAATTCGGACTGCTGCGTACCGTCATCCTCATTGTGGACAAGCAGCATTCCCTGAAGGCCGAATGGCCGATCGGGCGTCTGACCGTGTGGCTGGACATGCAGCGGGATGCGCCGCCCAGTTGTGATGCAGGCAACGTGTTCGACAGCGTCGAGATTGATTGGGAACCCATGGATGCGGCACTCAATGAAACTCTCAATGACACCCAGAACTCTAGTCGCATTGCCCTCAATCTGAGTGCTATGAAGGATGCGCTACTCAAGCAGCCATTCAAGCGTCTGCTCAGCGCGAACAATACGCCGCAACAGAGCTCCACTAGCAGTTCGCCCAGCAGCAAGCTAGCAATGTATACCAAGCGTCTGCTAACCTACGATCTAGAGGAGGAGATGCAGCAGCACCAACAGCAGCACCACCAGCCGTCGGCGAGCAGCAGTTCCAACTTAGCGCAGCTGGCGCAGCATGAGCTGCAGCTGATGCAACGATCGGCGCAACGACTGCGTCGTCACTGTGAGAAGGCGCAGCAGGAGCGCGAGAATCAGTCAGATGCCGGCTGCCAGGCTGATCAGCTGCAGGAAGCGCTCAACCGGTTAGACAGCGTGCTTCTGGCCATGCACAGCTGCCTTGGCACGATGCAGTCAACGGATGTGAGTTCCCCAACTAAAGCACAAAAGGCCGTGCGATTTCTAATCGATTGACAATGTCAGTTATATATTCATCATATAGCCATATTTATACCCATGCCCTATATCATATATCTTCATATATATCCTATATGTATATATGATTTTTACTGCAATTTTATGTATTTTTATTAGTTTTAAAAAATAAACATATATATACATATACATTTTTATTTATATGTGAATTATACATTTATCTTTTGAATAATTTGTTATTTTAAATAAATTATCGTTTATAAAGTTTTCTAGCTAAAGTTCTATTTTAAGCAAGGTTTTCAAAATCTTAACGAACAATTTTTATACCCCAACGTAAATTCATGCCAAAACATACCAAACTTTTCGATAAAAGTATCGAATTACAGAGAAGGCGCCAGATATAAATAGCTATGCTCTTACACTAACCACACTGGTTAGTGGCTCTTACTATGTACTTGGATCACTTTTTGCCTTTGTATTGCCTTGTTTTTATATCACTTAAACTTTTTTATATATTAAAAACATTTTTTAATTTTCATCTTTTCTTAATGTTTAGTTAACAAATTTACCATTATTTTTTTCTGTTATTAATAAACCATCAGTTTCTAAAAATTTATTCTGATAAATAGCCAAAAAATATAAAATTTTATATATATATGTAATTTGTACTTTCTTATCTACACTTCATTATCAGTTTTCTTAAGTTTTTTATCATCCAGATTTTTTATTTTTGATACTTGATTAATGATTTGTGATTTTTAATTTCTGATTTATGGCTTGCGATTATTTCTTGTATATAATCTTAAAAAGTAATTTCTAGTGTCTAGCAACAAGTTTATAATCGAAGAAGGTATATTAGGACCGTTAAAAATTGTATTAGTGGATTATTATTATTATTATTATGAAAAATATATATCAAAAAGCTATTTTTACTATGTTATCTGACCTAGTAGCAAAAAAATTAATTTTGAAAAAAAAAGTCTATGTATATAAATAGTTTTTGTAGAATTTGGTTCTTGCCTATATTACGCTATATAACGAATCGTATGTGCCCCTCAACAAGGCAATTAACACAATTGCATATTCTTATCAGAACTTTATTCCAAGTACTTGCATTTTCTTATCATGCATTTACATTCACCCAAATGATAGGTTAAACAATTCAAAATGAAATTGCACTAGTCGCTGGGCATGCTCGACTAGAAGCTAGTCGGTAATTAGCGTTAAATTTTATTTGTTATTGTCACAACTATAAACTTTTTACTCTTTAAAGACTTGAGATTGTAAAGAGGCTTGTATCTATATAGATTAGTTATACATATGTACAATGTAAAACCACATAGATGTCTAATATATATGATTTGTGCCATCTTGTGACTCTTACAAAATTATATTATACCCTAGAATAGCAATCCCCTAATGACATTGTAACTCACTTTTATTTTGTATACGCTAAAAAAATTCAATTGTGAAGTGTTTTAGTAACTAAATAACAATACAAACAAAACACAACAATAAAGATATAGATTATAAGTTAGATTATGTGTGTATATGTATATATATGTATATGTGTATATGTATATATAACTGTGCAAGACTGAACTGTTTCTTAACGTATGGCAAATAGGCATAAAAAGGCAGCTGAAAGCCCGCTTGTGTAAAAGGAGCAATACATAAGAATTGTTAGCATTATAAATAGCATCAAAGAAAGACAGAATCACAAAAGAGTGAAGAGCATTACATACAAATTCAGAGTATTTCAAATAGCATCAATAGAGAGAGCATTGTGGACAGATTCGTGCTATATATAAAGAAACAAACAATATCATATATAACAATATTTGTACGATTATTCGTTAGAGTAGATCCTGTTCCAATCATCTTCGCCTTTGAGCTCAGTTTTATCCCACTCCAGTTTGCTATTCAATTTGATGACCCACTCACAGAATTGGCCATCTTTGAGATTAACGAAATCGGCGAGAAAAACATTTACGCGCGGCTTTTGGCCATTGTTAAAGGGCCCTGGCAACTGTTCCACTATCCACGGCTTCAGTTTACGATCCACGCGTTTCGCTGTGCGCTTCAGGGTGAAGAGCAATCGCAGCGCTATATAGCGACCCGTGGGCGTGAGCAGACACTGGGAGACGTAGCCCTGTTGGGGCTGGCGAGAGAGCAGCGAGTCGGCAAGGAAAGACTGCAGCTTCTTAATGCTGGCCGTATTCGGCCAGGGCGTTGGCCACGCATAGCTGGGCCAGAACTGGACAGGCAGACCAATTGGACAGCGACGACAGATGAGCACCACTTGGCGCTGTAGTTCGGCGCAGCGTGTCAAGGAGCATTCGAGCAGCGGACCATCCGTTGTGGCATACAGACGCTGATCGAAGAACTGTACCAGCTCCTTGTGCAGCTGCTGATGATGTGGAATGGTCATATCATAGAAATGTTGTAGGTCCAATACAACGACTTCTTCGGGATGGGTGTCCAGAAACTGACGCAACTCCTGCAGGGGTTCGAACACTTCCATAGCAAAGACGCCGTGACAGTAATAGAATTTGCCCTCATGTTGTGCTATACGCAAATCAAAGTAACGCACACCCAGATTCAGTTGCTCCAAAATGCTCGAAGATTGATTTTTCGACCAACGACGAACAAAGCAGGGGAAAAAGCGATGCCAACGACGTATTGCAGTATCCGCATCGGGCGCTAGCTTTGAGTCGCTATTAATACCATAGGTCATCGTATTGTGGGAACCTACGACGGAATTGCTTCAATGTTAATTAGTCGAATGAGAATGAGACGTTGCATAGGCTTAGATGATCTCATGTACCTGGTATGGCCAAATTGATAATTGATAGATCGCGCAACTCCGGCGGCAAATCGCGCATCCAGTGCTCCTGGGACATTTTTGCAGCTTGAGGCGAATTTTGTAGTTGTATGTCGATGTCTAAAATTCAATTAAGCAGCAAACGTTCTGTTTGGGTCGTAAACAGCGGTAATTTCATGCATATGCTAAAAGTACTTGCGGAGAGTTGGAGGTATCGATTCACTCGGTTTGATGCAATAGTTAACTATCGATATTTGTGTTGGCGCTTGAATTTTAACATACCGATTAATTTTGAAAATTTGTATTAAATGCTATAAAAAAATAAGCACAAATTGTGTATTAAGTTAATTTTAAATTTGGATTAGTATGAAATTTCCTTTAAAACGTTCTAGGTTTCCAGTAATAAGAGTTTATTACAAATAAGCATTTTGATTAGACGATTTACATGACACATGCACTAAAACTAATTTATATTTTCCTTGTTCTCCCCGTCCAGCTCCTCCAATAGAAGATTCTGATGGGTGCGCTTGGCCAGCAGCTGCTCCGTTTCATTGAAAGCTCGTATATTACGTAGACAATTGTTGAATGTACAATTGCCAAGCCAATTGCTCTCATTGTAACTGCGATATGGATAAGAATTAAGGATTACCAAAGTATTTAAAATTAATTTGAATTCAAGAAACGCTCACCGTTGCAGCTCACTGAAATGTTTGATGGCCAACGATTTTTCATTGCTATTGGGCAGAGGAACGCCATCTGCTAAAATTCCCAGTTTACAGGTATGAAAATTGCAATTGTGTCCGAGCAGCTGCAGCTTAGCCGATTGATCCAGCAATTCCAAGCCGGTGTTGCACTTCCTGATTTTGACATTGTTAAGCTTGGCGTTGGTTTCGGCACGCATTGAAATTCCAATGGCAAAGTTTTCCAGCAAGCAATCCTGCAGCTCAAGGCGAGCTTCTGGCATGCACACAATGGCCTCCTGAGTGCTGGAGCGGCCGTCGCCCAACAACCGGCAGCTGCGCAACGTTAGCGTACCATTGCGCAGCAGAATGCCACGACGTACATGCCGGCAGTCCAGCACTAGCTGGGCGAGAGTGTAGTCTCCATCGATAACTAACAAAGTACTGTCCTCATCGCTCGAACAGATCAAAGGCAACTTAGATAGATCATGCTTTGACTCGATCACCGACTCCGCTTCGATCAGACCCTGAATACTTCCATTATCATTGAGATGCTCTAGGAATTTTATGGTGTGCTGGCCGGGTGATATTAATATGTCTTCGTTGGCCTGTGAAATGCTGAGCACATCCTGGAATTAAGTGAAATTATTAAGTTATAAACAAAATCTGAATTAACCATAATACCCGCACCTGCAATGTATTGCCCAGTTGTACTTTTGTATCTGGCTTTACGCGCTGCTCGGCCAGTTTGAGCAGGGCGATTTGTGCCTGCAGCTCACACGGCACTGTGACCAGGTGACACATTTTCTTATGATCCACTTGTTCGTCCAGCTGACTCAGACGTCCAGGACTGCGCTGCAGCAGATGACGCTTTAGGCCATTGCTTTGTAGTTCACTATAGGCGCGACGCATTTCCGGATTTTCAAGAATCTCGAATTCACTGCGAATGATGGCTAGGCGCAGGTGGAGACACATCAGATCCGTCACTGGCAACATGGACTTATTCAAGTTATTCGATTTGGGACTGCCACCCGTTTTGGGTTGTTTGCGTGGTGGATCAGTGGTATTGTCATTCAGCTCGACGGCCTCATCGTCGCTCTCGGCCTCGGCATCGCTCATGTCCAGCTCCAGGTACTCCAGACGCTGTTGTATATAGCGCGCCTCCATTAGCAGCGTGCGCATATGCAGCGCCAGTGGGCGTGGCAAGCGATTCTTGCTCAAATCACAAGCCAGCTGTATACGTGCCTGCAAATGCATTTGCACCCAATCACGATCATCATCGTAGTCCTTGTCCCATGGCATCCACACATGTGAATAGAAAAAACGCAATCGATCTATACACTCGGCAGTGGTGTCCACATTTAGCGCCGAATTCTCCTGCTGCAAAGTTGGCCACAGTTCAATCAGTGAGACTTCATTGCTCTCCGGCAAATGCACATCCGGATCCTGCACAGCAGTCACCGTAAATACGGCCTTGAGTTCGTCGAAAATGACCTGCTCCACATACCCAAACACAATGGTGGGATAGCGCAGCTTCAAGTCCTCACAGATGACGCGCGGTATTTTCCACATAGCCTGCCAGCCTGCATGTGTGTGTGTTAATGTGAGTACGCTTTGCGCATGTGTGCGTGCGCTACTTACCTGCTGGCTCGATTTGCAACTCGACGTAGGACTTCCATTCGGAGCGTACTTGAGAGGCGGGCATTGGCGCGTTATCCCATGATAATACAGCTTTCGCTTCCTTTAGGCGCTCCAAAAATGATTTTTCGTATGTATAAACATCCATTTTGAGTAGATTGTTGTTGAAGCAACAAGCGTTTAAATTTGAATGTGGGTATGAGAGAAGCTGCGCCTGCCTCGGCAAATACAGAGCTGCTAATACTGTAGTTATCGATAATAATAATAATAATAATGAGTGACAGAGCAGTCAGCTAGCTAGTGTGTATTAGGAAAGTACTTCCAGCATCGATACTTGCCACCGTAAATTGTTTTCAGTGAATTCTATAAACAAAAAATAACAAGTAATATGGCTGCGAATACAACAGTAGACGAGCATTTCGAAGGCGCCGATGTAAATATTGAATTATATCTATATGTACACAGTAATGCATTCATTCACATTGCAGTTCGATGAGGATGCAGACGATGAGCAAATGGTCTCCACCAACTCGGGCCGCAAGCGTCTCTTCAGCAAGGAACTGCGCTGCATGATGTTTGGCTTTGGCGACGACAAGAATCCTTATACGGAGACAGTTGATCTACTGGAGGATCTGGTTATTGAATATATTGCCGAGACCACACATCGCGCCATGGAAATTGGGCGCACGGGCCGTGTGCAGGTGGAGGACATTATATTTCTCGTGCGTAAGGATCAGCGTAAATATGCCAGAGTCAAGGATCTGCTAACAATGAATGAGGAGCTGAAGAAAGCTCGCAAGGCTTTCGATGAGATTAAGTATGTGGGTAAGTATCTGAAATATATTTGTTTGCCCATTGGAAGTGATTGCTATAGATATACTTGATTTTATCCAGGTACCGAAGGAAAGCTCAAATGACACAGCCCAAAGAAACCAAACTCAACGTAGCATTAAGCTAAAACTTAAGTTTATTTGTAAAACTGTTCAATTAATCAAAGTAGTCTTCAATGTCAATGTCTGGATTTAGTATATCATCGCCATAGGGCGTGAGATCGGTGCCGTTTAAGATCAGGTTCTCGCATGTCTCTGCCAGATCCGTGTCCCCAATCAATATGGCGCCGCGTAGTCGTCCCTGTTGCAGCACGAATTTAATGTACTCCTTGTTGCGTGTGCAGCGCACCAGTAACTCGTAGTCACGACCCAGATCCTGGCCATTGAAGCGCCCGAGCAGCACAACAGGAAAGCCAAATAGTTGCGTCACATGTCCGAAGAGCTCGAAGCAGAAGTCCTGATAGACAGTTTCGCCTTCGTGCACAGCTGCCATACTACGGCCAGCCATGGCGCCCATTTGGCGTGCCTGTGTCCATAGACGCATCTGGAACCAATGCGCGCCATTTGGCCAGCCAGCCGTGCAGACATCCCCGGCCGCATAAACGTCAGACAGATTTGTGCGCATCATTTCATCCACTTTAATACCGCCATCCGCAGCCAAATGAAATGGCTTATCTGTCTCATAGTCGTGTCTGGGCTGCACCCCCGTTGCGGAGACAATGAAATCACAGCTGAGATGTTCCACACTACCATCATTGTGCTTAAGAGTGACAGATAAAGCTGTCCCAGCTGGAGACTGTTCCACGCGCTCTATCTGTGAATTATAATAAATCATGGGCAAAGCTCGACTGGCTAAATCTGCGCAGCCTCCAGTTAAATCGAAGCTGCGATGCCAGTCGGGTCCCAAGGCGGCGCCACGCTTACTTCGTTGCTGCTCCTCCTCCTGCTCGGCTCTGGGCAGCAATTCGCTATAGCGCATTCGCTTGATGGCCGTTGTGGGCTTTGTCGCTGTTGTCTGATCCGCCTCTCGCTTGGCCAGCTGAAAGAACTCTGCTGCGCCGGGATCCACAAAGGTAGCCGAGATGTGAGCGTCCTTGATAACCCAGTGAACGTTTACGTCGTGCAGCTCATGTGCCAATTCGCTGGCAATGCCTCCATTGCCCAAAATGAGCACATCCTTGGCGCTGGCTAGCCGACGCTGCAACTCCAGCACCGAATCTGTGTCCCGTATACCAATGATGCGAGTGTTGAGCTCCTCTTCGCCGGCACTGAACACTTTAGCTGCACCGCCTGTGCATAGGCAGAGATAGCGATAGTTGATGATCAGCCCTGTCCTGGTGCGCACCCAATGCTCGCCGCTGTGGACATATGCCAGTTGATCCACAAGGGTCCCAATGCCGGCGCGCAAATCACTCACATTCTGCTCCCGTACATCGAATTTGTGCAGATAACGTGCAACGGGAACTAGATTAGTCACGCTCTTCACCACGCTCGATTCGGTCAGCAACAGAATCGTTTCATCTGGACAACAAATGGTTAAGGCTTCGGCACAAGAGACGCCGGCAATGCCGCCGCCAACGACCAGGAATGTGCAATTACGAGACATCTGTGAAACTAACAAATGCTAACTACCTATTTACTTATTTTAGAAACACAATCAGCTGTTGCACAAGCCGATGAAATTCTGAATCATAATCAGCTGTTCGAGTTTTTTGCAATGACAATACATATACAAATTGTGAACAGCTGATTGCTATGTTACCATAAATGTGCGCCAATGCAAATTGTAAATCATAATCAGCTGTTCCTAAGCTTTCTGCATTGCTAATACCGGACCACAGCCGTTGAGTTGCGAAATAAGTGGGATTGTGGTAGTAGTAGCCTGAAACAGGCTAAAAATGAGGAATAAATGCGAGCTAGATGAAAAAAGGAAGAAAACATATAAAAGGTAACAAACATATTTAACATATTATTTGCACTGACTTATTTTGCTTATCATAATAATAAATTCTTCTTTCTTTCTCTTTAGTATTCTCTCGAAGTATTTTTCTCCAAATCTTTTATGAACGATCACAAACTTCACTTCACTTTGCAGCACTGCACTGACCCCCACCGGGCCTGGGCAACTGAGGAAATGTTGCAGCTGCTGCCCTTTATATAGGGCAACTTTCACTCAAAGCCTGAGTGCCGCTCAAATGTTGAGCCTGGTGTCGTTTTAGTCGAGCTTTTTGCGAGCTACCAATGAGAATACTCTCTTCTGCTGCGCTCTTCTGCTTCATTCCTAGCTTTGTTTTAGTTAGATATCAATACCAAAGGAATACTCTGCATACATATAACAACTGAAATGATATTCTGTAGTCCTTCTCTTGCTTTTAGGCAGGCATGGAGTCAGATTTACAGACAGACATAAGAACAAATACATATATACATATATAGGCAAACAAATCATTATCAGCTGTTGCCAATCCATATGCGAAATCAAATACAGCTAATTGCTATGTAACCTCAAATAAAAGTTTTGTTGGGGTATTTTAACAAAAATAAACTTTAATTATTTACTGCTTGGATTCCTCCTTTTTTCCATAGTACTCGCTGTAATCGTACTCTCGGAAAGGCACGTCGTAGGTGATTAGACCACAATCACGTGCCTGCTCCACGGCGACAGTCAGACGCAAATGACTCTTCTGGCAGAGACCCGTCTTGGAGTAGCTGAGCACTTGGCCGCTATACGGCGAGATGAACTGTTTCAGCAACTCCGTGTTGCGGTAGTCCAGCACAAGATACTCATCTCGACAGATGGGACAAGGATTTCCGGTGCTGATTCTGCCCTGGCGTATGCAGGTCTTGCGGGTCTTGCGCGGCGCATACATGCCCTTATGATTGCGACTGTTGGAAATATTTTAACTTTTAGAAAATTCGAAATTCATTCGTTCTGCTTTACCCACCGATATTGTGTCCACACAAACTCGTCGCCATAAGTTGTTTTGTATGCTGCGCTTTTCAGATAACGTATCGAGGTCTCCACCGGTATAACATTTTTGCGATCCTTTGGATCTGGAGCGGCATTGGCAGTATTTTCAGAATTTTCTTCTCCATCTGCAGGTGTTTCAGTTTCGGCTGCTGGTTCTGCTTTGCAACGCAACGCTCCGGCTGTATGCAATGCTGCACGACTGTTGCGTGTTATTTGTGTCAAGCTGCTGTAAATACCGCGTGCTAAAGGCAACATTTTTATTAATTAACTGCAATTTCTTTGATTGTTAACTAGAAATGCGTGTGCGGCGACGTAACAACCAGCTGTTTATGAATTTTGCTTCTTTACAGTTTTAGATGGTCACACTTTCTTATGGCTGACAAAAAGCTTGATGTCATGGCATCTCGCGTAAGTCAATCGATAACAAGCAACATGCAAACTATTTAATTTATTAAACAATTTACTGTGCATTTAATGTCAAAATGTAAGGTGTATATATATTTATTGTCTTTGCAAATAACAAAGCATTCACACCACGATTGTCTGCGGCGGATAAAGTAGCATCATTTAAGCGCTAGTAAATGCGCGCTCAACCACATATAACGGTAAAATTAAACCGATCACACGCCACACACACAGTGTTGCCGAATCAGCTATTTTGTAGCTAGATCTGGCTACTTCTTGAGTCCGATTGCTACACAAATTTTCAAACAGCTATTAGCTACAAATCTGGCTATTTTCAAATATATATATATAATAGGTAAGCTTTCTAAAATGTTATGCAAAATTCATTTCTTATCAGTTTTTATACCCTGAACCCATTGAAAATGGGAATGGTTTTGTGAAAAAGTATGTAACGGGCAGAAGGAATCATCGCAGCTGAAATTTGGCATGCATCATATTTTTTCGATAACTCATCCGATAACTTTTTTTATCTAGAATTATTTTTTTTTTTTGCTATGAGTATAGCGTTCCACCCAACTACCTTAAAAAGGCAAATTATAAAAGCGACAATGGTGAAAATGACGAGTTGGTGGTCATAGATGAGATATAATAATTAAATTAATAAAGTTGACTTTTTATGAAAAAAAAAAAACGGCACTGTTTTCTTTTTTGCTACTTTTTCAGCTATTTTAGAAGAAAGTTGGCTACTTTTAGCTACTTTCAGCCTTCGATTTTGCTACTTTTGCTGAAAAAGTTTCGGCAACACTGCACACACACATGCAAACGGAGAGGGCATGAATGAAAAGCTGCCATTCGCTCAAATTTCATTTAGTTGCTGTCGGTATTTACTAGTGCAAAGTGGCCTGTGCAAGTGCAGGCAGAGTCGCAGTCGTTGTCGGTTTCCGGGTCGCAGAGTTTATGTGTGTGTGTGGTGTGCATTTGCGAGTTCACGCCTGTGACAACATAAAATCACGTGTATAAAGGCAGCATTTATTTACTTTTTACCTATAGTGAGGAGCCGTTGCTGACGTATGTAGTTCTCTTGTAATTCATGGCGTGCGTCCTTGTGTAATGGTGTGTGTGTGCGTGTTTTTGTTACTCTGCATGCATAAAATGTATTGTGGACTCTAATTTTAATCAATATATATTACTAGACGGCTCATTTAAATTTAATTGCTTTAAGTAAACCCCGCACACATTGCAATGCTTTGCTGTGCGATATTCTTTACAGGTGCCTTTCCCGCTAACATCAGCCACAACAACAGCGGCAATAAGAACGGTTTGTGTTTGCCGTTATTCGCCGCCCGCTGCCGACGACGCCAACAGAACGCAACACACACACGCACAGAAGGTGAGTCAAATGCTCAATACGTTACTGTATGTATGCGTGTATGTGAGGATATGATTGTAGCCGTATGTGTGAGAGCGTTTGCCTAGCGTTGTTTAAATGCTTTTTATAAATAGTTACGCGAGTGCAGAGTATGCAAAAGCAAAACCATCAACATTTCTTATCAATTGCGAACAGCTAACAATAAAAACTATAAATACGACGAATCGCTGACTTTGAAAATAGGTATGAAGAGGGGTACGCAAGTAGTTGTTGCCCTCAAAACACATAAAAACTTTCGAGTGACTTTTCGCGCATTTCGTGTAATAAATTGCGCTCCCTTCGTTGGCACAACACACACACACATACACAGGCAGCAAATCCCCGTAACATTGCTAAATTAGTACCTGTTGGCTGCGTAGCCCCTTTTATTTATTTTTTTTTTTGCGTCTTACGACAACAAACAAGCCAAAAAGTGTGTCAGCCATTGAACAGCTATGTGGATACCCCGTTATTTATTCGATGCCATCTTGTGAATGAGTAATTCTATAATTCCAGTGTATGAGTGAGAGAGGCTGGCAATGCATTTCTTCATATGTATATAATTAGGGTGGGCTGAACCTCAGTTGAGCTTTGATTATTTAGTAAAGTTATTGTTTATCTAGCTTAATTAAATGATGACATTAATTTATTTTGTAAATTAGGCAGTCCTATATAAATTACCAGTAATGAGAAATGAGTAAATTATTATTATTTTTTAAATTCGTTGGCAAGTGAATACACCTTGCTGAATAGCGGAATGTCTTAGACGGCATAGGAGTTGTCGCCCATTGACGCCCTAGCTAACATTTCGCTGTCTAGGTTTTCATATTCACATTCCATGTTTAGCTCACCTTTTAGGTGGGTCGTCTCGCATTTATTTTTGAAATTTGAATCAACGTTTTCTTTCCAATTTTCCTTTCTTTATTTTTGTTCGTATTTTTTTGCACGTCAAACGGAAATGTTTGGCCTTTGGTAGGGCGTTACAAGCCATCAGATTATGGGTTTCGTTTTCATGACCTTTGTGGGGGCGGTGCACGCCGCGACTTTTGATAACCATTAGTATTGGTCTGTCAGTTCCTTTCACGTAATATTTCTAGTCAGTGTGGGTGGGCGATTCATGAATAGACGTTGCCAGTTTTAATTAATGCGTTTGCCGTTAACCAACCAACCTCGATTTCCGACAATTTGACAGTTCCATAAGTGTAATTCGCTTGACATTTCCTACTGTGGGCGCAATCATTAGCACAATATACTAACGGCTTATACTATATGTCTTGTATGTAAGCACGGGCGGTGATTGGGAATGGAAATTGTTTTGTCAATACGGAGCGGCATTATGTGGTCCTACAACAATATAATATAGAAGTGAACTACTTGTATATGTGTCATTAACTGACCTCTGACCTAAACTCCAACTAATGCATAAATAATAGTCAACTACTTGACTGAAAATCCCACAATTAATGGTTTCTATGCGTGAAGAACCACGCACGTCTCGAATCGTCAAATAATATTTATATCAGGGGGCGTTCGATGGCAATATGAAGTTATTTAGGATCGATAACGAAAGCAGGTGGTAGTTGAGGAATCGTTGTTTATAGAATAGCTAGAGAAATTATAGTAAGAAGTAAAGTGTTGAAAAATCAATTCAATCAATCTCTTGTTAGATTGACAAATATTTAAGCCACCCTCGTAACTCAAGCATTCTTGGTTTTTGTTTATATTTCTCTTGTTATTGGAGAGGCCTCTTCAGGTATTGATTTACTTAAGGCAGTTGAGTTTCTCATTCACAGAGTGCACTCTGGCAACCTCTTAAAGTGTTGTCATTAGCTTAAATTATTATTTCAGTTAAACTGCATTTAATTGTGCCTCTGTAATAGTTGATCAGTGTCTGCTCAGGCCAGCCAATCGGAATGCTTAAACACACCAACACACGCGTACGCCCTCACATACACACACACACACACTGACACTCGCTCTCACATGCCTCAAACACCTGTAGCAGTTGGTATATAAAAGCACACGCACATATGTGCACATATACACATATGGTTGTCTTTGTCTAGCCCATGGGACTTGAAGCTCAATTTGAGCCCAGCTTAGGGTGAAGCAGAGTTGCAGAAGTAGTTGGTATTTAAATGTCACATATTACATGCACATGCATATGTGTCTGTGGTTATATATAGTTGACTTTGTCTAACTAATTGAATTTGATATCATTTTGAGCCGAGCCAACGTAAAGTAATAATAGAGCTAGGCGAGTTAATTATAGAACTCCAATTAATGTTATGTATTGACTATAGTTTATTAATAACTGTAAGTAATTTTCTCATTTTCAATAATTAATAGTGTTTGTGTATTCGTATATATCTGCCCTAATAATACAGCCACAGCTCAAGCATTTCGTGTTGAAATCCATTTGTCATTTCACATAAAATTTCCACTGACCCTAGAGATAATTAAGAATGAAAACGGACTGCCAAAATATGTAGCTGTGCATATAATCCGTTAGCCTACCTCAAAATTCGAGGCTCACCACAATTTAAATACCAATTTGCCTAATTAAGATGACTTAAAGCAGCACCTACAAAGTCCGCCCCTTCACACCCGTTATTAAGCTGACAGCTCACTCTGGGACCGCGAATAAGTCCCAAAATATTGCGTGACATACAGTTGCCAGAGCGGCTAGGGCAGAGTCCGGAGTGCGATGTCTGCTGACAATGCAGGCCACGTAAATGACATCAACATGTGCAGAGGTCAATCGCTGGGTGGGCTTGTGCTCCGTCACCTGTTCCTTCTGTTGGATTTTTATAAATTCAAGAGCTCTATGCAACAGCGGCACATTTAAGAGCATTTAAATATTTAACGCCCACCCCACTTTGTGCTGACTGTTTCTTTTCCCAGCGAGCTCCTGAATAATACACAATTGGAGCAGCTGACTGTTTCCCCCGAGTTCAGGGAAGCGATTTTCAATGTTGGGCTGTCAGTCAGGGCCAGTGCCTGAAACGAAACTGTCCTTGTTAATGCGACTTTAATCTGTATATTGCTTAATTTATATTTATTTCTTTTATTTGCCTGCTAAATCAGACGATGGCGGCCAAAAGCGATAAGGAAATACTGGAGAATTCCATGTACGAGGATGATCCCAATGGCAATTCAGCACCCACAGCACTACATCCGGAGGAGCAGGTGGACGGGCAGACGACAGCCAATGAAGCATCCACACCGAGCACCAGAACTGTTCCGGCAGCAGCAGTAGTGACCTCGCCACGTTGGGGCCCTCAAAACAAAGGTGCCCAGGAACTGGCATCTCTCTATAGTCCAGGTGAGGATAATAGTCGTATAACAGTTATATAACGTATGTACATCTAACTATTTTAGAACATAATATACATAATATACAATACAATATATGCATTAAAATTGTATTTATTAAAGCTAAAGCTCGAATAGATTTTATTACTGTGTAATATTTGGAGTTTTTAGAATATAATTTTCTAGTGCATATAGATTTAAGAATAGCTCAGCAATATTAAACTAATATGTGTACATTAACTTTTGTAAAATGTTAATGTTAAAATATATATCAAGCCGATAATATAGACAGGAAATCAGTCCAAATGCACAAAGAATTTTCGAGTACAAGAAAAGCACAATTTTTTTTGCTTTTTTGTTTTTGGCTACCGGCTCCATTAATCGTAAAAATAGATTAGCTGCTATCAATTTTAATCAGTTCTAGTAACTGTATATCAATTTCGCGGCCTAACGCTAAATTCATTAACAGCAGCAAGCAGATAATCAATTATATAGTAGCTATTTAAGTTCTATATCGCATTTTGGCACTAACAATTTACTTTGGGCAGGTAAACGTGCACAGGAAATCATTTGTGTTTACACCTGCATCGGTCTGATGATCATCAATTTGGTCCTGATTGCGAAACACATGCGCCTGGAGCGCATCAGCGTGGCCTTCATCTCTGCATTGTGTGGCATTATAACAGCCGACTTTGCCTCCGGATTGGTCCATTGGGCAGCAGATACCTGGGGCTCTGTGGATTTACCCATAATTGGAAGGGTAAGAATGAAAATTTGACGAGCATTGGAATTGCTAATCAATTCTTATATTTATATATATATCTAGAACTTCTTGCGACCCTTTCGTGAGCATCATTTGGATCCGACTTCAATAACCCGTCACGATTTCGTTGAGACAAACGGGGATAACTTTATGGTGGGCATACCCATACTTGGCTATTTGGCGCACTATTTTTACATAAAGACACCGTACGAAATACAACAGAACTTCGGCTGGATCGCTTATGTGTTTCTATGCTCCATATTTGTGGCTATGACGAATCAGGTGAGGCCAGGCAGGAATCTACAATTATTTATTTAAAAAGAAAGTCTGTTGATCTGTAAGTAAATTTTGTATGAACTTCCGTTTTGTACTGTTAACGTTCCGTTAACAAAGTTTAGTTAACATGTGGCCTTAACAGCTGTAGCTGAATGATTATGGAATACCTAAATCTGAACAGTCAATAAGAAATAATCTTACATGCCTTCCCATCCTAATCAGAAATGTAACTAACATCCGTTTACCATTTGCCTAGATACACAAGTGGTCGCACACGTATTGGGGCCTGCCACGATGGGTGCTGTTGCTGCAGAACTGTCACATCATTCTGCCGCGCAAGCATCATCGCATTCATCATGTGGCGCCGCATGAGACTTACTTCTGCATTACCACCGGCTGGCTAAATTGGCCACTGGAGCAGCTTAGGTGAGTGTCTGGAAATACTTAATAGATTCCCCTATTGAACTAACTATTCGTTGCTTTTAGATTTTGGTCAAGTTTTGAGTGTATTATTGAACGCTTTACGGGCTTAAAGCCGCGCGACGACGACTTGAAATGGGCTAAGAAACTGACATAGCTATGCTTTAACCAACTGTATATAGAACTTGGACCAAGCAGCGTTAACTAGAGAGCTTTGCCAATCATATGAAACTAAACAAAAAAAACTATTAAGAGCAACAAAAGTCATATGTTACAAAGATTACTTTTTTATTTTTCGCAAAAAAAAAAAAAAAAAAAAAAATTATCTAGCCTTATAAAAAAGGTTAACTAGTTTATATTTATGCTGTCCAAACAAGAAGTGAGTGAAAGGAAATTACATAGTTTTTAGTTTAAAAAAAGTTTGTTAATGAAAAAAAAAAGATAGTTTTGTTAAGTCAAATTGTATTGTGTAATGTTGATTCATGTATTTGTTTATAGACCCGCACATGCATAACGTACATTGATCTCGGTACTCATAAAATGTTACAATGAAATATACAACGAGTGAGCCTTATCTACGTATAGATAATATATATTAAATGTAAAACTAGCACACACAGGCACAAAGAGCTTGTTTCAATTGTTAATGAAACTTTTTTTAAATCTTTACAAAGACACAAACTGCTTTAACATGGCTACAATTTTGGTACCAAATTATAAAAAAAATGAAAACCCATTTTCAATACATTTCAACGGCTTCAAAGGCTATTTACATAAAGATAAATAATTATATATATACATTTAGATATACATGTATATATTGATGAACTAGACGCTGTATGCAATCAAAAAAGTGACTTACATATTTGCCTTATAAACAAATGATTCTTGCGTATGTATAAATGTAATAATACTATTTTAACAATACCAAAAGACAGTGAACAAATTTATTTTAAAGAAGTTGAGCAACATTTTTAGTGCGCACATTTTTTAATAATTTAGTGCATAAATTAATAAATTAGTATTAGCTATTAGAAAAATTCTGCTATTGGATTATGTAAAGCAAACGGCAGGCCAACTATATGTATGTATGTGTGTATTATAAGCCTAAGCCAGCTAACTTTGTATTTGTACTTTTTGTAAACAGAAAGAAAAATCCCTTTATATA